CATTTAAACTAGAAAACATCAAATAGAGTGCAACAATAATCTCAAGCTATTAAAAATCATGTCTTTCATCAATTTATGGAATAAGTTCAATCCAACCATCATCATTCATCCAATATCAACTCATATTTTCCACCCCTTCCCCTAGCTAAAAGAATAGCCTAGAGAAGGTAGTTTAAACATAATATCAAAACTAGAAACAAACTCAAGAAACTCAAAACAAAACATGATTAAAAACAATGAAATAAATAACAACTAGATGAACTAATAAGATTAACAAGAATAAGAAACAATAAAACAAATAAATAAAACTAAAGGAAAGGAGAAGAGATTACTAAAGAAAGGATTAATGAAAGATGAAAACTTGGATTCTTGGTTGATTGATTGAAGATTAAAACATGAGCAAAGTTTAATACAATAAAGGATGCTTGAATAACAATCTACTTTCTATCTCTTGACTAGGCTAATATTATATAGAATTAGAACTGCGTCTTTTTCATTATAAGGAGTCCCGTCTATATATATGTGGCTCCCCCAAAAGAAAGAAACTTGGGCAACAAGGCGCAAAGAAATCAGAAACCCAGCGGTGCGCGCCCACACACAAAATATGCGCGCTCGCGCAGTAGTAGTGTGCACCCTCTCAGCATAGTGCGTGGCCGCAACTTTGAGGGTACGGGGAAATCAAGCGCGCCCGCATAGTAAACCTGCGTGCCCGCGCAACAGGTCACGCGCCCGCACAGAGGTCGCACAGTAGGTCGCGCAAACTCTCAGGTTTGGCTATGTTTCATCAGCTTGGTTGCGCGGGTTCTGACAGGGATGCGCACCCGCATAGCCAAGGGTGCGCGCTCGCACAATAGCCGCATAGTAGCCCGCGCAGAACAGTTTGCTTGGCTCCTTGAAATCCTCTTTCTTTCAGCACATGATACCTACAAATAACAAGGATGGAAATTAAATTAAAGGGGAGGCAAGAAGACTAAGAAAAAGGAAGATAAAGGAGAAAGGAAAGGAGGAAACATAACTAAGTAAAAAATGCTTAGAAAAAGGGCCAAACAAGTGCAAATGAGGGGAGAATCCTTAGAGAAAAAGGATAAAAGAGTGGCATAAATGCCACTCATCAGCTATTAAGTATTTTTGTGTAGTTCCTCCTAGTGTTGAACCTCTTATCGAGTCTCCTCCCTCTTACCAAATAATTCGGGCGAGGTTGTAGCTACTTGCCTTCTTTGATGTAATGACCAATGAATTCAATGAAATGAGTACCTTTGCTTACGATGTGTGTCATTCCCCTAACCCTGATCAATATTTCTTTGCTAATGATAAAAATGACAAAGAGATAATAAAAGTAATGAAAGAAAATGATAATAAAACTGCAATCATTGAAGATAAAGAAAAAAATTATATTTCCAATGATACAACTCTCAAAGAGGTAAAAATTGGATTAACACAAAGTCAAAACAAACGCAAAGAGCTAATTAACTTGCTTAGTGAATTTTTTTATGTATTTGCTTGGTTATACCAAGATATGCCAGGTATTGACAAGGATATAGGTTAGCATACAATACCACTCATTCCAGGTATGAAGCCCGTCAAACAAAAGCTACGCCGTATGAAACCAGATGTGGCTCTCAAAATCAAAGAAGAAATTAGAAAACAACTGGTTGCAGGTTTCATCAAAGTTTCCAAGTATCCAGAGTGGATAGCTAATGTGGTTCTAGTTCCAAAAAAAGATGGAAGTGTCAGAATGCGTGTTGATTATAGGGATCTCAACAAAGTAAGCCCAAAAGATGGGTTCCCCTTACCTCACATAGACATTCTGGTCGACAACACAGCAAACCATGCGCTCCTATCCTTCATGGACGGTTACGCTGGATATAATCAAGTACTAATGGCCGAGGGAGACATGGAGAAAACCACATTCATTGTACAATGGGGTACATATTGCTACACGGTAATGCCATTCGGGTTGAAAAACGCAGATGCCACCTACGAAAGAGCAGCCACGGCATTGTTACATGATATGATGCATAAAGAAGTGGAAGTTTATGTTAATGATATGATCGTCAAGGCAAAGGATCGACCAGGCCACATTATTGCACTTTGCAAAGTACAATATGAGATTGAATCCAACAAAGTGTGCATTTGGAGTTACATCAGAAAACTCCTTGGCTACATGTTCAGTTCTCGAGGGATTGAAATAGATCCCACAAAAGTCAAGGCAATCATGGCCATGCCACCACCCAAGTCTGAGAAGGAGATTCGAGGTTTTATCGGAAGGTTGCAATATATAAGTAGGTTCATATCCAAACTCACTGCGATATGTGAACCTATATTCAAGAAGCTAAAGAAGAATTTTCCAGTTACATGGGATGACGACTGTCAAAAGCTTTCGACAAAATCAAAGTGTACTTGGAAAACCCACCTGCGCTAGCGCTAGCAATACATGACTTTCCTCTTTGACTCTACCTTAGAGTCACAAGAGAAACGATGGGAACAATGCTAGCACAAGAGATCAAAAGTAAGGAAAATGTAATCTACTATTTGAGTAAGAAGCTTCAAGGTTATGAGACCCGATACACGCCACTTGAAAAGTTGTGTCTCGCACTCATGTAGGCCGCACAAAAATTAATACATTACATGCTTACCCATACTGTTCATGTTGTGTCAAAGATGGATTTTCTCAAGTACTTGTTTGAAAAGGCAACACTCGATAATAGATTATCAAGGTGGATAGTCAACCTTACTCAGTTTAACTTGAAATTCGTACCAAAAAGCCATCAAAAGGTTCAGCGGTTTCTGACTTCTTAGCAGATTTTTCGTTGGAAGAAGTTGAGAAAGAAGAAGAAGAGTACAATTTCCCTGATGAGGATGTACTAATGACCGAGGATGATAGCTAAACGCTCTATTTCAATGGAGTTTCAAACTAAAAGGGTTGTGGAGTAGGAGTCTTGCTTGTATCGCCCAACGAAGAACACATCCCAATTTCAATGAAGCTCGACTTTGATGTCACCAACAATGCTGTAGAATATGAAGCATGCATCCTTGGATTAGAAACAGATGCTGCCCTGCCAATTAAGAAGCTCAAAATCTATGGTGATTCGTCACTAATCATTAACTAGATCTCCCAGAGATGATTAAGTGAAAGTCTCGCTACATATCAAGCTCATCTGGAAACTCTCACGGAGCAACTAGATGAAGTGGAATACACATATTTGTCTAGAGAAGAGAATTTGTTAGCTGACGCACTAGCTAAGTTAGCATCAATGGTGCGAATTCCAAGAGACACAAACCAAATGATGTTAACTATAGAAAGAAGATATGAGCCGGCTTATGTTCAAGCAGTTGATGATGAACATAAAACACAAGAAGAAGATGAAGAACCATAATATACAGACATCCTTACCTATGTAACGAAGAGAGAATACCCTCCTAACACTGATTAAAGGGCACATCGTGCTTTAAGGCTCCTGGCCTCACAGTATGTGCTCCTTAGGTGAGAACTCCACAAAAGAACGGCTCAAGGAAGAAATCTCTTATGCATAGCTATAATAGAAGCGCACAAAACCATGGAAAATCTTTACGCCGGAATACGTGGAACGCATATGAACGTTAAAATGTTAGTCCAAAAGATTCAACGACAGGGTTATTATTAGACTACCATGGAGAGAGACTGTAAAAAATATGTCAAGAAATGTATGAAGTGTCAAGTCTACGCAAATTTACAGCACGTTCCACCTTCACTTCTCTACACATACACTTCTCCAAGGCCGTTCTCTACTTGGGGAATCGACATCTTTGGGAAGATAACACCACCAGGACAAGGGGGACACAAGTTCATCCTTATAACAATCAACTACTTCACCAAATGGGTCGAAGCCGCTTCATATGATAAAATCACAGCAAAACATGTAGCTTAATTCATCGAGAAAAAAATCATATACCGCTTGTTATTATTATTAAATATTAATCAAGGCATCTAACCCGAACGCTTCCTCCTCCTCTAAGAAAGCCAAGTGAAAACGTAGGAAATCACTAAACCCAAAAACTTTAATGCCCCCCTTCACATACCCTTCCCCTCCCCTAACATGCCATTTCCAAACACTTCCACCCCTTTCTTTCATCCCCGGCCCAAACCACGGGAGGGTTCGAATTAATGGATGATATGGCTTCTTGGACTATGTCTAGTTTGAGATTTCAACAAAACCAATTCTCACCTCATTTATACGGATCACAACATGAATTTTCTATTCCTCCTAGCCAAGGTAGCCAAACAACACAAGCCTCCGGGTCGAGTGCACAATCCACCCAAATTCCAAACACCTAAATTCCAAACCCATTAGATGAGTGGTGTACCGATGATGAATTTGCTCAAACCAGCCAAAAGAGTAATATTTGGTCACATTATCAATTAAGTAGAGAATAAACCAAAGCTAGGTGTAAGACTTGTAGGAAAATTTACTCGGCCGAAACCAAGGGAGGGGCGGGACACCTTAGTAAACATGCAAAAAAATGTGGTGGACAGTCTAGTGATCCAAACCAACCCGAAATTTCACAATTTCATCCACAAGGCTTCATTTATAGTTATGAGAGAGATAGAGATGAACTTGAGAGAATGATATAACATGCCAAACAACCTTTTCTTTTCATCGAAAATGATGCCTTTAACACTCTAACCCCAACATAAAAAATCTCCCAAATAATTGTTCGTTCTGCTGCCATGAATAATATTCAAGAGTATAAATTGAAATTAGAAAATGAATTTATTAATCTCATTAGTAGAGTTTCTTTAACTGCCGATGCATGGGATAGTAGTTAAGGACTTCACTATTTATGTTTTACTTGTCATTGGTTGGATAATGATTGGGTATTACAAAAACTCATCATTCATTTTAAAATGCTTGAAACGGTCTTAACATTTCTCATCATTTAATGCAAGCTATTGATGCATATATTCTTAGGGATAAAATCATGTCTATGACTTTTGATAATGCAACTTCTATGAAATTTAGTGCAAATTTGGTTAAACCCCAATTGACTGATGTACTATTAGATGGAGATGCACTCCATATAGATGCATTTGTCATGTTCTTAACTTGTGTGTGAAGGATGGAACATAAGAAATTGGTCCATTTTATTACAAAATTAGAAATGTATGTCTATCAATATCTCTAACTTGAGATATTAGGAATGGAAAGGTTTTTACTGGCAACAAAGGATAAAGGCTATAAAAATAGCATCGGATTGTCCAATTAGATGGAACTACATCTATGAAATGTTGAGTAGGGCAATCGAGTACAAGGTTTATTTAACACTTTTTTATAATAAAAAATTTCCACAATTTGCCTTACTAGAAGATGATTGGGCTAATTGTGAAATATATATGCAGTTTTTACAATTACTATATAGTATGACACATTGTTTTTCTTCTGTATATAATCCTTGTTCCCATTCTTTTCTTAGCAATGCATGTTTACTTGCACAAGTTTTTGCCGAACAGTACTAAATACAACACGGTTTTGATGGATATCTTCCATCTATGGAGGAAAAATGGCGTAAAAATTACACTAATATTCCTATGATTTATATTTTTTCTTCTATTTTAGATCCAAGGCAAAAGTATGATGACACTATTTTATTAATTGATATTTATTTTTCTAACATGGATTTCAAAGATGATGTTGAAACTTTTAAAACTAAGGTAATTAATGATTTTTTCTCTTTATATAGAGTTTATGAATCTAAATATGGAACCATGTCTCGATTTTCCCCTTCTCAAACATCCAAAAACGTAAGTAAAAGGGCCAAAGATTTATTTACACAAGCTGCTAACATGATGTCTAAGTTTTCAGGTACGGAATCATCATCTAGAAGAACACAAAGCAATGTTTTGGAGTTGCAAATGTACTTAAGTTACGACTTCATGAAAGGCATGGATGATGAAGAGAAGTTCGGCCTCGACAACCTTGCTTGGTGGAATTCACAAAGCACGAAACATCCAATTTTGGCGGCAATGGCCCGTGATATTGCTATCCAAGTCCCCTCTGGTTCCTCCGAAAGAGGTTTTAGTGCGTCGGGATGGGTTTTTAAACGATAGAAGAACAAGACATAAACCCGAAACACTTGAAATGTGTGTTTGCTTCAAGGATTGGTTGGATGCCGAAACTCGTTCCCAAGATCGGTCTTATGCACAAAACGACGACGATGAAGGAACGTCGGGTTCTACTAGTTCTCATCAATTCAATTGTCCGATGAACTTGAACAAGAAGAAGACGAAGACGAAGAATAATAATTACATATTTACATTACATACTATTGTACAATTTTTGTATTATTGAACCTCATATTCCGTATAATAAAATGAAGTTATTTACCAATTATTGTATGATTTTTAATTATCATTAATTTTTTGTATTATCGATTTATTGTATCGGCATATAATAAAATAAGTTATTCATCAATTTTTTGTGTTATCGGCTTATTGCACTCGTAATATATATATTTTTTTAATTATATGCATTTTTTTTTTGCTAAATTATTTATATAAACTTAATGAAATTAAAGTTGTTCAAAAAAAAATATATTCACATTAACATAAACATAAATTAAAAACATTATTTATATAAAATTAAGTTGTTCAAATATATATATATATATATATATATATATATCAATTTTTTATATACATATATATTAAAAAATATGGGTTGGCACGTTGTCCGGCACGGCATGGCCCCCGTGCCGTGGGCTAGTGAAAATTTTACCCTACACTAAAGTGTAGGTAGTGTTAACTATAGCCCACCTAACGCAACGTTTTGCGTGCTACCCACACCCCCCACTAAGCTTCTTCATTCTTCGATTGTTTCCTTTTTTTTTTTAATTCTTTGTTTCTTTTATTTCAAGCTACGTATGTATATTAATTTAAATCCTATATTTTCTCTCTCCTCAATTGATGAACCTCCATTTTTGTAATTGATCAACCTCAATTTTCACCATTTTTGAATTGATTTTTTTTTTCTGGTTGATTCATTCGAATTTGATAATCGTTATTGTTCATCAATGGCAAATTCTTCATCTGGAGATTGCGATGATTTTGATCGTCATTGCGGGCTGTTGTTTCCTTTTGGAGTTCGTTTGGTTGAATCGTTTGCTCAACAGTGTGAGTAATTAGCATTATAATTTTGTAAGTTTGTAATTGTATAATGCTCTGTTTATTTGAATAATTTGTTCGTTTGGTTGAATTGTTTACTTAACAATGTTAGTAATTAGCATTATAATTTTGTAATTTTTCATAATTTTGTAAGTTTGTAATGTTATAATGCTTTGTTTATTTGAAATTAATATATTATGATTCATTTTTGTTGTTTTAACTTTAAATGTGATTATATTATGCTGAAATTTTGTAAGTTTGATTATATTATATTTTGTAAGTTTGTATTGTGATACTCTGCTATAAACATTTCGGTGGTTTAATTTCTTTGCTATGTGTTTTAGAATCGTGTGTTTTTGTTATGAACATTTCGTTGGTTTTATTTCGTAGGTATAATTAATTTTAAAATTGATCATGTGTTGTTTTATTTTTGAACATTTTATTTATTCATTATTGTTCATTCCTAAAACACTTTAAGTTCATTTATAATTGTATATTTAAACTTTGTGCAATGGAAAAAAAGTATAATATTGTTTATGAAGAAGCATCAAAGTCTGAATTAAAGGACAAACAATTTAAATCTAAAGATGAAGTTTTTGATGCGTATAACGAATATGCATTTAGGAAAGGTTTTGGAATTCGAATTAGGAAGAGTAAAAGAAGAAGAGATGATTCATTTTTTATGAAAAGATTTTTTTGTTGTAATGAAGGATTCAAAGATGATAAGTGTAAGAATAAAAGGGTTTATGAGAAGCTGGATATTCGAAATGGTTGTTTAGCTTTTATGCAGTTTCATATTGATTATTTAGGTGTTTATACATGTACTACCTCCGTTACAAATTAGTTGCAAATTTTCCATTTAGGGGTGCTACCTATTAGTTGCAACTTTCTTTTTCTTTCTGCTTTTGGTAAATTTTTTAGGCCAAAATTACTTCTATACCCTTACTAAAAAATCATAATCTCAATTACATATTTTAATGTCACCAGATTATACCATTTAACCAACATCATTAATTTAATGATTCCCACCTAATTCTTTTTCCACGTATTTATTCACTAACCAACCAATTCATTCATACTTCCAAATTTGGGGAAATTTTAAAACCCTAGTTCATCCTCTTATTCCTCCATAGCTTTCTCTCTCCGTCCTCCATGATTATAAGTCACCTTCCTCCTTGAATTTCTCTCTCCTCCCTCGAGCTAACCCACAAAATCGTTTCGACTACCTCTACAAACCCACACAAATTCCCCAAATCGTCATAAATTGAGCACGAAATCTTCACAAATTGCCCAGATTTTGTGTTCCACTTCACGAATTGCGCACGAAATCTTCACAAATTGCCCAGATTATTTGTATATCTTCACAAATTGAGCAGGAAATCTTCACCAATTGCCCAGATTATTTATAAATCTTCACAAATTCAGCATGAAATCTTCACAAATTGCCCAGAAATTGTCACAAACTTCACTCCTTCACGAATTAAGCACGAATTGGGCAAGAAATCATTTCGACTACGTCAACAAACCCACACAAACTTTAATTGATCACGAAATCCTCTCAAAAACCCACAAATCTACACTTTAATATGGTGAATTTGAAGCCCATATGTGACGCAACTTTTGAGAGTGATTGTGATGAAGAAATGGCGCTCCTTTGTTAAGTGTATTGAGTCCATTGAGCAGGACACTCCGTGGGCGAAAAATTTGTTCATTCATAACAAAGGTCGTGAAATTTTGAGTGAGAAATCGCTTGAAGCTTTGCTTGAAGTTCTCGCCGCGGTCGAGGATGAAAAAGCAGAACAATAATCCGCTACCGCTTGCAATTGGAGGCAGAAAAGGTTACCGGTCGTGTTGTTGATGGTGGGAATTGCTTCTGGATGAAGGAAAAAAAAACTGAGGGGAGCGGTTCCGGTAAACGAAGATAGCCATGGCCTCGAAGGGCTAAACTACGTCCTAAGATGGCTAAAATATATGACCTTGATGAAGAAGAAGCTGCAGCTTTGCCTTCTCCTCCTGCCCCTACTGGTCTTAATTTAGAGAAAGAAAAGGTTGGATCGGGCCTAGTTTTGAATGAGGACGGGGTTCAACTATCTACCACTGTAACAATTTCAAAAACCTTATCTTTTAGTTTCATTTTTCTTCTTAATTATAAGCATCCCCATCATTAAAAATGGTTATATTATTGGTTGGTTGTGTGTTGGAGGTTGTTTGTGTATGTTGAATATGGTCGGTAGCAGCTTCGCGTTGCTGGCCAAGGGGTGTTGGTTGTTGTTTGGCTGGTTGTTTGTGTGTGTTGAATATGATGCTTGTTCTTTGTTCTTAAAATGTTCCCTGAATATGATGCTTGAATATGATGCTTGAATATGATGCCTAAATATGATGCTTGAATATGATGCCTGAATATAATGTTTGAATATGATGCCTGAATATGATGCTTGAATATGATGCCTGTTCTTATAATGTTGCCTGAATATGATGCTTGAATATGATGCTTATGGTTGCCTATTTGTTGCTATAGTCCCTCTTTCTTTGTTGCCTTGTTGCTTGTGGGGTGTAATGTGGTTGATGGATGATGATACATGCTTTTTTCAATCATGTCTGGGTCATGGTCTCAATGACAGTTGTTGATGAGAGACCACTTAAACTAGAGTGCCTTAATTGTTGTGAACTTGGGTCCCTTAATTGTTGTTTGTAGAGTCCCATTCAAACATTACTAGCTACCATGCCCTAAATCGATATGATAAAGGGACTGAATTGATATATGTATGGCATGTAAGAATTGCTCTAATTGTTTTAAATGTGATAGTTGTTGAGGTAACTTACATGATGCCATATTATCTGATTAAAATATTGACCCTCTGATGGATAATTACAATCTTCTATTCTGAAAGTGTAAATACACCGTAAAATAAACAACAAAATACACAATGCTTTCTATTTACCCAAAAGTCATTTGATTCATTAATCCCATAAGGTTCATTACATTAAGTTTTAGCAAAAGTGTTCCACTAATTCATTACAACAAGAGGTTTAACTACAGTGCTCCACTAATTCATAGGCTTCCCTATACATAATAAGCAATAGTGTTTCATTAATTAATAGGTTTCCTTGTACATAATAAGAAAAAGTGTTTCATTAATTAATAGGATGCCTTGTACATAATAAGCAAAAGTTTACACATAACCAACTTGATTTTGCATTTTTCATACCAATTTTTACACAAAAGGGTGGTTAGATGTGGCAGCCTATTTCTAAGTAACTTACCTTAGTCTGCATCCACTTCAAGATGGTTGTCTTCATCTCCTTGTTCCTCATTTCCTGCTGGTCCGAATCTATCATTAAGGAACTTCACTCATTGCTCCACTAATTCCTTGCTGTCATCCAAAATATCTGGTAAGGACCCTAGATTCTCAAGACTTTGTTTCTTCATATGTGGTATCTTGTAATTGTTTCCCCCTTCTTTCTTTAGAATTTCCACCATGCATGACGGTAAAGTAATTCAAGTATACTTGTTCACCGATGGATCAAAGAATTCATAAGCCTCTTCAACTCTTTCAATTAATTCATCAATGTTTTTTGGGAATGAATGGTATTGAAGAGATTGAATAGCCCAAAATAGACCTAAATCAAGCACATTCGGATCAGGAGATTGTGGTGGTTGGTATACCAGCTTGATGTTGAACCCATTCTGAGTTAATGCAGCCTAAAACTCATCATCATTTGGGATTTGGTGAGGTCGGGCATTGTCCCATTAAATAGTTATGTTCTTGCTTTTTTGTGGTGGCCAATTCTTGACAATTGCTTGAATAACCTTGTTTAGAAGCATCTCCCTTATGACTTCTTTAGTTACATGCTGGTGTGCTTTCGTTTCCCAAGTACTTGCTGCTCTGTTCTTCCTATTTTTTTTTTTTTTTTTTTTTGCCCTTTGTTGGTAAGTAAAGGGGAAA